GTCGAACATAAAAAAATGAAAAAAAAGGATATCCTATCTTTGGATCGATTATCAAATCCAAACTAGAATTTTGCATTATAGATCTCAAATGAGTGATTCGTGCCCGAATCACAAAGAATTAGTTATTGGGTTCGGATCCGAGAATTTTGGTTGAGCGGATCCGGGTCCGGGTACAAAGAAATTTAACCGATCGGGTCCGGGTCCGGTCCGGGTTTGAATAAATTTTTATCATCGGGTCCGGGTCCGGATCCGGGTCCAAAAATCATGGACCCGATGGACTCTAACTGTGAGTCTAACATTATCGGTAGACGAGGTGAATATTGTGGAACGATTCTAAGTGAAAGATACTATAGTGGTAACGATTTCTTCTTCTAATTTGAAACTCAGAATAAATGTGTTTTTTTCTTTATTTTGTAGGCTGCTGTCAGCTGTGGACACAGGAAACTGAACAAAGTTGAATGTCAGACGATTTTATATACTTTCCTTGACGAATTAAAGCTGCTAGAATTAGCACAAGATTATGTTACTGCATGTATTCATAGTAAAATTCATAAGCTAAATGTGTATTTAATAGCATCGTGTTCTGACAACCCTGCAGTCACGCTGCTGCAAAATGGCAACGAGTCAATACGTCTGCGATCGATGTGAAGTACGAGGTAGGTATGCCTCTTCTGTTCCGTTTTCGATATAAAACCAAATAGCTTTATATTCTATAACGGAAGCAGGCTAAGGAAGCAGTAACAATTGTTTAATGGAAAAGAATGAGCAAATTCAAATGATCGAAGTGATGAACAACGTGCGTGGTGAACAACATTTGAATTTATCACATGCAGATAAAATTGCACGATATAGAAGATATTATGGCTTGTGTTTTTTAACATCAGTAAAATATTTTGATTTCGGCTATACATTTCTATCAGATACTCTACACAATCTTTATTACAGTTTACCGGTAGGACACTTTGGTTCTTATTTCTTATCCCTATTCCTTGGATCAAGAGTAATTTATTTAGGGAAAGTAAAATTGATGAAACAATTGATAAAACTTGTTGATGAAATTCGAATTTATATAGCAACAAACATGTTACACAATCAGTGCATTCACTATTGCATTTTCCCGAAACAGTGAACAATTTTGGGCCTCCCTCAAAAACTACTCTACGTTAAATCACGAGAAAATATTAGGTATGCAGACGAATGATTTCATTTACCAAAAATACCTTGTTTTTACCGATTATTTCAGGTTTGCTTACAGCTACTATTAAATCAACATCAACTGAGAATCAAGAATTAGTATATAAATTACAATTAATAAAAAGTGCCACAGTTATAGCAGACTTAATCGATGATTCATCACTGGTTTATGGATTTATACAAGAAAAACGTTTACCAAAGATAGATGTATCATTAGAAATGAGTACCTAACATACAACACAAAAATGAGCAACAACCACAACAAAATCAACTCAATGGAAAGAAAAGTATTAAATATTGTTTGTAAAAATTATTTTAGTTTAGCTATTGATCATCAAATAGTATTACATCCGAATTGTATACGTTAGCTAAAGTTAATTCACTATTATTTACCAGTACACATCGTAGTAAACCAAAGAATATCGACGATAGTTGTATCACCCAAGCAAAACCTGCCCAGCAAAAATATCTAGATGCATTCGCTGGTGCATCTAGCGATGCTCCAGCAGGAGCATCTAGATAAATGAGTAAAAAAAATCTAGTTATCTAGATGCATCGAGTAAAAACGATGCACTAGATGCAAGAGGCGATGCATCGCCTACCAATATAGAAATATTGAAACGATAAAAAAGGCGATATTTAGCGCGATGCATTAACAGTGCATCGCCTGCATCGATTTTTTTTCACAGTTTCTGCATCTAGTTTAGATTGCTGCAGCTAGATGCAGCTAGATACAAAAAAGTAAAAAAGCAATCTGTACCTACGAGAATCGAACTCGACCACTTCGTATCAGAATAGATATCATATATAGAATTTTATATACATACTTACGAAGCATTTACCGACTAGGCTATCCAGGCACATTGATCTACTTAATCGATATCTGTCATATCCTGATGCAGATATAAAGGAAATTAGTTCAAACAATGAAAAAATTGAAGTGCTGCTTTGGGAAAAACGAAACAGAATAAAAGATAAAACTGCTCTGTGCGGAGTAGAAAAGGTTCAGAGAGCGCTTATTAACTCTAGCTACCAATAACCGGATAGTCCATGTTTTATCACTATGGATTATTGCACAATCTCAAACGAATATCAGAATATATAGAAGTTTGCAAGAGAACAGCGATAAGTGACAGCCTCGGTGTAATAAATTCCGTTATTCTCTGGTGGCTTGTGGATGTAGTAATACAGTCATACTCGGTCAGTACGGTAGATATAGAGAGTACAGGTCTAAAATGACATTCTGGCTCGACCGTATTATCAATCCGAATGGTTTGAGCGTCAGTATCTCTCGGATACACATTCTACACAAGTCCGAGCATGATGTTATCATCATATGTGATAACGATTACCTTACGGTAATTCGGTCACTGAAAAGGATTCTCGATCCTTTTTGAGTTCTTTTTCTTATTTCTTTTAGAAACAAATTTACAGCCATAATCTACTAGTGTATTTATTTATTCTATTGCATCATCATATCTTTATACTTCTCTATTTAATAGATACACTAGTGGACGCAGCTAGCTGCATAGAAAAGAGAGAAAAGTTGAATTGAGCATCGCTCGATGCAGCTAGATGTGGACGATGAACTGCTAGATGCATCGACCAAAAGGCAATGGAGATTTTTAAAGAATAGTTAAATAACTGTGCATCTAGTAATAGTCGATGCAGCTAGCTTAATGAATCTAGCTGGATCTACTAGTACATCTATCAAATGAAACTAGCTGCATCGACTATTACTAGATGCACAGTTATTTAACTATTCTTTAAAAATCTCCATCGTGTTTTAGTCGATGCATCTAGCAGTTCATCGTCCACATCTAGCTGCATCGAGCGATGCTCGATTCAACTTTTCTCTCTTTCCCATGCAGCTAGCTGCATCTATCATTGTATCTAGTGAATCTAGATGCATCGAGCGATGCTAGCTGCTTTTTTCGTGCTTGGGTAGCGCTAGATATAGGCACGATATCGTAGAATAGGCAAACAAAAGTTGAAAGACTTTCATTAAGTTTAAAGGGAGAACGGCTTGAGGCCATCAACTTCATCGAAACGGTAGCACATTCACCAGAATCACTCATATATATGAAGTCAGACACTCAAGCAGTCAGGAACTTAGTAATTCGTGTGATTATATATATATCTTGTAGCGAAAACTAGAATTCAATGAAATTCTAGATTTCGCTGGATAGAACTGGGTAGCATTCGAGTTTTTCCTGGTGTAGAAAAGGGAAATGATCGCTTGCATAATTTGAAACAACTGAAGGGAGAGGTTAGAAAGGCCTAGCGTTGATGAACGAGAAATGATGATGATTTGGTAAGATACCTTATTAAAATCTTTTCTCATAGCGAACCAAGAGGCGGGCGTTATGAGTCATCGATTTTTGTCTCCGCTTTGGATCCACTCTTAACTAATAATTTTAATTTTGAAATAAAAAATGGTATCGTACGTAATAATGGAGAATACGATCAATCTTTTTCGTGATCAGGTGCCTCGTATCAATAAAGACTATAGACGTGTTTCCACATTAAGAGCCACATTTAACAGATATGAGCCCATTTTTCTGTGCAGAGAAATAAACAGTTTTAGAAGGTATACAAGAAAGCATGTGCTCCTTCACAGACTGAATCTCAAATGCAAAGTGAAGTCTGCACAACGTTACGGACGATAGGTTTTAGTTTTGGAGAGAAAATCGATGAAAACAGAAAAAGAATTGAATAGTAGGGTCTCCCATTACGCTCTTCACATTACACGCTGGAGGAAAGATGGATGTCAAGTGTCTTATACTATTAAGTGTCGTTCGTTTACATGTCGAATGATTGCCTCAAAATTAATATTGATTGAGTATTATCATCCATACCGTCAGGTGTGCAGACAGAAAGTAACAAAAAGAGGTATGTAAAAGGAACAGTGGATGACTCCACTGTATTGCACAACATTTTTCTTGCGAAGGAAATTTTTTATCTGACACTTGAAGAAAAGAAAAAACGATATATATAAACTATTTATTGCATATAAAAAAGCGCGTTTTGTGAAACAATACGAATTACATCGCTAACATGTAAGTAAATCTTTCTCTTTCTTCTTTTAGCACTAACGTGTCGTAAGAGGAAATGATTACATAGGTCTTTGTCAGTGAGAACTGACTTGCACGTGTTTTTTAGACATTGTTCTTCCAATATGTATACTGTTGTTAGAATCAACAACCATGAACCGTTAAAAGATCGTTATAAGCATGAAAACGAGACACCACTATCAGATGCTGATGTAGGAAAAAGGTGGTTGAAGAAATGTGATGGGGGTGGACGTCTCCAAAAGCAATCTGCAGAAAAATCGACTTTGAACCTTCAGTACACAGTCACAAATGGACCTTACACTAATGCACCGTCAAATCCCGTTTTGCAAGCGTTCGTCAACGCTTACAATAATCACGAAGATTTAATTTTGTGTCCTGATGACATTTGGGTAAGTAATATCTGCCTACTATTCTCCGGAGGTGTAATACGCCTTTTCTCTATAGTTGGTGATCTGCATCAGCTACGCTCAATATGTCAATGCAAACGCCGAGAAACTTCGACACATATTTGTCGATCACCAGGGAAAGAAGGAACTGACTGTTTTTGAGCCACCTGGCAAAGATGAGAGAGATTGGACCGACTTCTTTGGTGCGATGAAACAGGAAATTGAAAAAAATGTGAAAGGGGATATTGTCTCTGTGTTAACTGCGAACTATTCGACTACAGGTAAGGTCGAGGCAATATTATCGAATGCGTGTATTATGGACACGTTTCAGTCCTATTTCGAATACACAAGAGTTATGACATTATGTGGTATTCGAAACGTCAAATTCATGGGCACGCTCGACGACTGGAAGATGCTGAAAAACAAAACAGAACAAATGAAGGCATATTCGGAAGGTGAATTTTACAAGTATATTGATGGATTGGTTCCTGTCCTTACTGGTTTTATCAACACGTACCAGAACAATGTTGATGTGGCCTGGTGGAATAGGATTATGGGTAATGTACCGCTAGCTAGGGATGAATAAATCAAATTTAAGACAGTTTTTGTCAGTTCTCTGTTTCTAGCTCCTCATCCAGTTTACAGTTGCTGGATGTAGAAAGCTCGTCGGTGAGCTTTGTGTATTTATCATCAGTTAGCATATCCTTGATGCCTTCCAGCACCACGTTTCTTGTCCTCGTTCCAGAATCGTTTTCTAATGTAAATCATACTTGCGCGAAGAAAAAGAAAATACAGACAGCCGACTAAGGATGAGTGGGTCCAATATTTGTCAACATGAGTTTGCCTCGAAAAAAATTTCCGCATTTCCTTCAGAATGGCGCAACATACAAGGGAGAAACAGAAAACCAAGTCTGTTGTATTAATTCTTCCACTTCATCTTCGATGGTCTCGAAACGAAAAGGGCAAGTTCAACTCTTCTAGAAGAAATTGTTAACCCAGACGTGGACTCACCCAAGTCTATAAACAACACGCTTTTCATCTAATCACTGCTCATTCGCCTGGTATTTTAGATATCAAATCAACTCATGGTAGTGGTGCTTGTACATACATTAGCGGCTGGATATTAAGGCTTTTCTACAGTGTTTGCTCACAGAACAGATGTGACTATCACGATATTGAGTTGAATTCAATCAAAGTCCCGGTGAAGGTAGTGGATGAAAGTACTGGTACTGAAAAAATGTGCTCGGTCATCGGTGGATTTCATGGTGTCAACCGCGAAGATCACGCGTACAAACCCGTGATGAGTTTGGCCGTTGTTGAAGATTTATCAACCGTCAAACCGATGAAATCTTAAGTTGTTTTTCCGGAAATTGTTTTTTGATTTTGCTTATTCCGAAGCGAATAAAACCTTGATATTTAACGAGTACATCTCGAGGTGCCACCGGTGCCGGTATGAATTATAACGCCGATCGGTATACTGTCATCAGTTCATCTGTGACATATTTCTTCCACTAAAATTTCATCCTGATTATACTCTCTGTGAAATAAAATAACAGGGATAATCATTTTTCGAACAACACGCAAATAGAAAGAGGTAGCTACCTCCGCTTTCCGCCATGCGAAAGAAGAGGCTTGGAAACAAACGATAAACATCAGAACGAATTCACACTTCGGAATATAGAGTTTTCCGAACTTTCCCTTCGTTTTGTTTTAAATAATAATTCTATTTATGTTGTTATCCTATTTGTCTATGTTGCCTTTCTACAGATAGCCAGATACAATGCTTTGCGATTGCTAACTATCTGTGATGCTTATTTCAGCTAACTAATAAATACAGATTAAACTAAACTAATATATCCTCTTTCAGATCCTATTTGTAGAAGATCTAGAAAGAGATTTTACAAAACTCTAATGTTTTTTGAAAGAGTTTTTGGAAAACTCATTAGCAACACTATAGTTTTCCATCTTTTCGATCTTATAATCACGTTAAACGCCAAAGTAGCAACATTTCGAAGTTTTGAACTCGTTCTGATGTTTATTGGCTGAATTATGCATTTTTTAGTATTAGGTGAAAACAACCTGAAAATCCGCTTAAGGGTGGTCCCTCTATTTAGATTTTTCTCTAGCATTCCCGGTTTGTGGAGGACACTTCGAAGTATATGTCCTGAAGTTTTATCGGCTTACTGACGTTATTTGGCTGAGACAAAAGTTAATTACTTAAAAAAAATGTTGTTATTATTAAAAAAATTTCTATCCATCCTCCATTCAGCACAAAAGCTTGGTTCTTGCCTAGATCGATAGAGAAATGTGTGGAGAATATTTATGACGAGACAATATGTAAAAATTTTTGTTCTTTTCTTACGGTTATTGACTAATTAGTACTAATAAACGTTAATTCGGCCTACTCTACTGACTTAAAGTCCCATGTGTAAAATAAGGACTCAACGAAAAATTTCAAGCAATACCTCATCTGATAGAGAATTTCACGAGCTACAAGATAGGCTACCTTAGAATTCACTTTTGGCTGCTAAGTAGGCCTGGTTTCTTTCTCCACTGAAGAATTGATCAGGCTTTATGAGCGTATGAAGTTTTTTCACACCTTTTTTCAAGACTTGGGATTTTTTCTTCTAGTCAAAGGCAATTTGAAGTTTCTTAGATTTCAAATTTTCAGATGTTGGACGATCTTTCTTACTCAAACTCCGAAGAAAAGTCAGAAATAAAGTTCATTATGTATTACGTACTTCATTAATTCCAAGAAGACGTTTTTGCTATGTTTTTTGGAAACAAAGACTATGTTGAGATTTTTTAATGGAATAAAAACAGACTTAAAGGTGGTCTATCTTGTAGCTCGTGAAATTCATAATTAGATGAGGTATTGCTTGAAATTTTCGTTGAGTCCTTATTTTACAAATGGGACTTTAAGCTAGGTAGGTTAAATTAACGTTAATTAGTACTAATTAGTCAATAACCGTAAGAAAAGAACAAAAATTTTTACATATTTTCTCGTCGCAAATATTCGGCACACATTTCTCCATCGATCTAGGCAAGAACTAAGTTTTCATGATGAATCGAGGATGGACAGAAAATTTTATAATAATAACCCCGTGCTCAAAAATTTAACAACATTTTTTTAAGTAATTAATTTTTTTCTCAGTTAAATACTGTAAATAAGCTGAGAGAATTTCAGGACATGTACTTCGAAGTATCCTCTACAAATTGGGAGGGCTTGAAGAAAAAATTAAAACCTTGAAAATATCACTGGTTTTTGGCTCAGCGAAGATTTTTTACCCCACCCTACGGCTAGTTTCGCTCAAAGCAAGCATTTCGAAGCAAAATTTCTGGTACAAAAGTTGTTCAGAAATAAAGTCTACGGTCCCTCACGATAGCTTTTTTTAAAATTTTCTGTTTTTGGTTTTTAAATTAAATTTTACGGTTTTTCAAATCCCAAAATTTCATATTTTTCAATTTAAAAAGCAAAAAAAGAAAATTTTAGAGAAAGCTCTCATGAGGGGTCCCGGAATTCGATTCTGAACAACTTTTGTATCAAGAGTTTTGTTTCAAAATGCTTGCTTCGAGCGAAACTAGCCGTAAGGCTTTTTTCAAAACTTTTAGCTCTAAAATTTCCTCGGGAAGGTGAAAGTTAAATTTCTCCGTCAAACTTCATTTGGGAACGATGTAAAGTTTTTCTCCTTATACAAATTAATGTTCTCTATCGAACTACGCTACAATCAACTCTTCATATCAAAAAATGAAGTTTTTATTGAAATTTTAAAAATAGGGCAAAAAACCAGAAAAAAACTTAAAAATTTTTTTATCAAAAACTATAAATCCGGGAACTGAAAGCTTTGTTGAGACATATACTTCAACTGCACAAACTGCTGGAAAAAAACGGGTGGGGGGAACACTCCTTAACGTAAAACTTGCTTTTCGTTACATTTTTAAATCTTTTTCTAGAAACCAATATCATCACATGGCTTAGTATGACCCATTACCTATAATTCATCAGTTTTCAAGGCTACCAATAGTCATCGGGTGCCAGTCATGGGGCTCGTAGGGAATTCGACAGACTGCGAAAAATCAAGATCTCGATTGACTCCCATCTTGAAGAGAAGATCTCGTGCTACCTACCCATGAAAAAAATCAGTAAAATCTTATTGGAAAAGTTTTAGATACAACCTGGTTTTTAAAGATCTCTTTGAAAACCTGTTTCAGAAAACTATTCTGAAAATTATTTCGCTTTCGAAAACATGTTTCCAAGTCTCTTCTTTCGGAGGCGGAAGTAGCTAGCTCTTTCTATTTGCGTGTTATTCGAAAAATGATTATCCCTGTTATTTTATTTTATAGACAGTACTTAAACTTTGTCGGCTTATATAAACTTCTTAATTTAAAACTCGAATTGTATTTGTATTTAGACAAAACATGATCAAGACAAGTTACACCCCTGATACATCTTATTGTATTTCCGATCTCTTTGTTATTGTTGTTTTTGTTTGGTCACATAGTGAATGTTTCATTAATGAAATGAAATATTATTAATTAATAACTTCTTTACTTGTTTACGGTAGACGACTGAAGACACCATATGAACGTAGAAGGACGACGAATAATTCAAATACCACGGTAAGTAAACTATTTGTTCAACAAAATTCTCCCACATTAATTACACGGATCTTTCTGATTATTTAATGTGATGCCATTGTAAGTATTCCTTATCATCACAGTAAATATTGATACAACAATAATCAATATTTGTAGCATGATCATTATTGATATTTGTGCATCACGATGTTGTGCTGAGAACGATGGCGCATTTCGTTGACGTATATTTTTGTATGCGAGTAAACCGAAGAGGGATGTGATTAGTGTGGGAGCTAAGCCGTAAAGTATGGGAGATAGTATGTACGATATATAAATAGTGTAGTCAGGACGATCATAGGTGCAAGTTGAAGGTGCCTTGAAATCATAGAGTATGAGAGCAGGAATATTTTCAAGGATTCAAAGTGTAATGACAATTGGTATGAAGCATTTGGCTATTTTCAATGAACTGTATGCTCGTAAGTTAGCATTACGGCAAGATGATAAGTATCTGTCTACTACTGCAATGCACACCAATGTTGAAGATGTAATGGCGAACACGAGACCATAATAAATTCTAAATTTACACCAACTCGTTGATAATCTCGAATAATCCACTTGAAAACCAACTGGTAAACACAATTAATCAGAAATGATTGTAAATATAAAAGATTGGCAACACATGACGCTCCCAAATAGCATGATGACGGTAAGAACCTTAGCGTTTTTCTACTAAACATGATGATATTTACACAGTTACGAAAAACCAGTCAGTCAATACTTCAGTGGGAGCCAGCCAGGCCCTGAACCAAAAAGCCAAACCTCCGAAAACAGATTCTGATATAGAGTAAGGTTAGTATTATATACTGACAAGATTTGAAGCTTATCAACTTGCACAACCCAGAGAAATCCATCGTCGAAAATAGACACCACAATGGCGTGCCACGGACTCCCCTTGGGTCGAGAATTGTTTTTGAGTCGATAGATGTGTAGTACTCTTTCTCTAGTATATACCCACCAAAAATCTCGAGTGGAAACGTTATCGCTAAATAACGCCAGACCATACAAAAAGTCACTAATGTTGTGGAATAGAGTGATATGTTGAGATTAAAAATTCATTCTCGATCAGTGAAACAGTCCTATAGGCTAAAAATTTCAGAATATACTCAATTCTAGTAAGGCTACACACTGGTAAAGTCAGAATTAAGTTTCAAAAAATAATTGAGCACGCTGTAGCGCATTAGGTCGTCCCTGTCGTGCAATGGCTTCTAGGGGCTGAAAGCAGCGCTTAGAAAAAGTTTGGAACGCGATTTGGACTAAATGGAAACTGTTTGATAGCAGGGCCTCGAAAAAATGATGATGTTTGCGGACTGTTTTGACGATACCATGCAAAAGAACGTAAAAACCTGCGACAAATTCCTTTCTCCGTTTGACCAAGTCTTTTTACCTGTGGTTACCTTTTTATAAATAATTCTCGATGTTCATATTCTATATCCCGGTCAAGATATTTTACGTTTTTTACTAGCTATGTTAACACTATCTTGACATTTTCTCTTACTGTGGACATACATAAGACAGCGAGATTCAGTGAACTATTCAGTCACCGTGATTCATCGTCCGCGAAGCGACGTAAACGATATTATTTAGAAAAAAAAGTTTTCGAATCTACACTGTAAAGTCGGGAATTATTTATAGAAAATGCAGCTCGATTTTCAAGAAAGCTGGAAAATCGACATCGATTTTCTACATTCTTGGGAATTATTTATAGAAAATCCTCAG